TGCCTCCTCCCGCCGCGTCTCTCATCCCTCCTCGCTCTTTGTACTCCTCCTCATCCCTCATGAGGGGAGGAGGAGGAGGAGGAGGAGGAGGAGGAGGAGGAGGAGGAGAAGGTGGACGAGACGCAGGAGATGAGATAGACGGAGGGGGAAAAGCATAGAGGAGTAGGAGGAGGAGGAGGAGGGAGGAGGAGGACCTCTTTAAACCCAAGGGTCACCAATGAAGTTGATGTACACCCTCCCTCCAAGCTCCCTCTTCATAGGCCCCTACAACAGTTCGTTTCCACTGGGGGAACTGCCTCGTTGGAAGACAACCGTTTGAAGACCCTGAAGCATTCCACAACATTGTTCTCGGGATTCCGACGCCACGGATCAACCTGATTTTTGTGTCTTGACGATCACGAATCGTGCCATAATGCCGCTCTTGGGACTTCACCACAGCGAATCAACGTAACTGCTGCACCCTCATACTCCTGAATGAAACACATTTTGAACGACCCGCCTTCAATCCGTTAAGGTCACGCAATGTTTGAAAATGAGTGTGCGCGGCGCGAAGGCGAGAGCCACATTTTGAAAGCCACCCACCCTCAATCCGTGAAGCTCTTGCAACATGTTGAAACGAATGTGCGCAGCGCTACGGCGAGCGCCACATTTGAAAACCAGCCGCCCTCAATCAGTGAAACTCTTTGTGCATGTTTAAAACGAATGCGCGCGGCGCGAAGGCGAGAGCCACATTTCGAAAACGACCCGCCTTCAATATGTCAAACTCTTGCAATTGTTTTGTACCAATGTGCGCAGCGCTACGGCGTGAGCCACATGTTTAAATCCACGCGCACTCCATCTGTGAAACTATTGCCAGTGTTTAAGCTTCAGTTTGATAAACGGTGAGGAAGTCTCAAGCGAAACGCCCAGCTTGCCCTAAGAAGTGTCTTCGGGGTGCGACAGGTGGGAGTTATCAATAAGGAGAAGGAATGGAGGAGGAGTAGGAGGAGGAGGAGGAAGAGGAGGATAGAGGAGGAGGAAGAGGATAGATGAGGACGAGGAGGAGGAGGAGGAGGAGGATAGAGGAGAAGTCCCGGTCCCGTCTCCAGGGCCGGCCATTCGTCTTGAGCCGTTCTGTGACAGCCCTTTGGGGCCCAGCGAGCTCCCGCGGAGGCCAAACACGGCGGACCCAAATTCGCCGGGCGCTTCCAGGGCGCCAGCGGTCCGGGGGCCTTCGCTCCCCTCCTGCGGCACTCGCGTCGGGTGTTGCTAGAATCGGGGCTGGACAGAACCCCCAACAGTGACACGTCGATTAGTGAATTGTCCGTTTTCGGTTCTCGAAAGGGCGCCGCGGCCGTTATTTTCCAGGCTTCTCGCCCGCCAAGTTTGGGCCTCAGGTCGTTTTCATTAAACCACGTTGTACTAAAGGGGGGTCTGTCCATCCCCGATAGAAGTGTCCCTGGCCAGAGGTACCCCCAGGATTTCCGGGGAGGCTACCACGACCTCCAGAGCACCCCCCACGAGGCCCAGTGGGCCCCAGGGGCTCAAGAAGTGGAGCGGAACGCTGGGGGCAGCCTGGGCCAGGGGCACCTTCAGCAACCCCCGACCTGTCAGGAGGGGGAAAAACACAGACACACGTAAACGCCGATTCCCAGAACATTTGGACATGGGAGGTGCAGGTTACGGGAACATCCAGAAACTGTTGAGAAATATTGGGAATCCAGGGATTTGTGTCTATGAACTGGTGTCTCCCTACGCGCCTTCACCCTCCGCCCCCAGACATCTGGCGTTTCGATTTGTTCAAAAAACACGCCCCCCGACCTCTCGACCCAGACCCCCTCGCGTCACCAACACATCACACAAAGCAAGGCTTGTATCGTTTACAGTGGCCGGCCTCCTCGCCTGGCTCCCCGGGGGGCCGTTCAAAAAGACGACCCACAGTATGGAAAACCGGTCCCCGGGAAATGGGTTTTGAGACCTCTGGGGGTCGACGTTGTGAACAGATCACGAACTTCCCAGACCCCCTCGGGTCATGAAAAACCTCGACGGGAGGTCTTTCGCTCTTTTCTGCCTCGGGGGGGCCTCACCGGGCCTCGAGACCCTCAAAAAGCGAGGCAGGATGGGGAAAACGAGTCCTGGGGAGTGGGTCGAGGCCTTTGGCGGGCGACGTTGTGAAAAAATCATGTCGTCGGGGGGTCTGGAGCCACTTCTCGGGGGCGGCCAAGTGGGGGGTGATGACTAGGGGGGGAGGGTACAATGGCAGGGCCATGAGATCTCCCCAGGTTTCACCGCGGCTCTTCTGATTCCAATACGCTCCGGGCCCCCCCCCTTGGGCCGCGCGCATGTCGCCGGCCATGATTTGCGCCCCCCCCTCTTGGCCGCCCCCGAGCTCTGGGGGTCGAGGTTGTGAAACGATCGTGTCGTCGGAGGGTCGGAGGCCACTTCCCCGGGATCGGTTCCTCATCCCGAGGCGCTGTTTGACGGCCCCGAGGCCGGGCAAGGGCCCCAGGAAGCCGAAAATTATCTATGAAAAACCGCCGTCCCGATTTCGTCGAGAAGCTTCCTGTCGGGGCCGCCAGGAGCTCCGCCACAGAAATATACGCACGGACCCTCCAGGGGATGGTTCCCTGGCCTCATTGGAAGGGTGGCAGTGAACAAATCACAACTGGAAGCCCGCGACTTCCTACAGTAGGGGTCCTGAAGAAGGAACCCTTTTCGTTCGGGAGGGGCTCTGTGTTCCTTAAGTGTTTCACAGCTTGCCTCAGGCTTTCATTATGTTTTCGTCAGGAAATCGAAGGTTAACTTATGGAAAAAAAGGTGCCTCGTTCCTTATTTTGGGTTTCTTAGGTCAAGGCCTCGACTGTACACCGCCATCCTTCAGGGATCAGGAGAGGAAACAAAAACACCGACACACTGAATCGTCGACTCCCAGGAAAATCTGGGAAGATCTGGGAAGCGGAAACCCGGAACATACTGGAAAACATGGGGATTTGCATACTGGAAAGTATGGGGAAGCTTGGGATTTGTATGTCTACTTCTTCGTGTGCCCCTGGGCCCCCTGGGAGGCTGGGAGGGAGCCCTCGGCGGCGGGCATCGTTTTTTGTGTTCTCGGCGCCCCCGTGGCCCAGGATCGGAGCCCCGAATCATCAGGGGTAACTCGGGTCAGGGGCAACTCGGGCTCTTTTTTTCGGAGGGCACCAACTATACACCAACACCGATCCTGGCCCAGGGTGATCCTGGCCAGGATCGGTGCTGGTGTATAGTTGGTGCCTTCCTACTTTTTCGGGAATCCAAGCCCGAGTTACCCCGGACCCGAGCTACCCCGGATAGCTCGGGCGCCCCACAGGAGCGGGCGCACGCGCTGGCCGCGGGGAGGGCCGGGCCCTTCCGGGAGAGCCTCAGCGCGCCCGCCCGCCTGGCGGAGCTGGCGGGGCCCGCGCGGGGCCCCGCGGGGCCGTAGGCGCCCCGCCCGGGGCGGCGCGGTCGCGCCCGCGGCGCCGCGCGGGCGGCTCCCGCGGTCCCGAAGAAAGGCTCGTCCTCTCGTCTTCGCCCCCCTCTTACGGTAGTCGGGGGTGGACAGAACCCCCAACAGTGACACGTCGATTAGTGAATTGTCCGTTTTCGGTTCTCGAGAGGGCGCCGTGGCCGTTATTTTCCAGGCTTTCGCCCGCCAGGTTTGGACCTCAGGTCGTTTTCACTAAACCACGTTTTACTAAAGGGGGGTATGTCCATCCCCGAGGTAGGTTTGCGTCGTGTCGACCAGCGGCGACCCCAGCGCGGGCGTTCCAGGTGGAACGCCGCAGGCGACCCAGAATCGTCCGATGTGGAGCGATTTGGACGTTTCTGAGATGGCCGATCGTTCAGGGTTGAGTGATCCCCGAGGTGTCAGGGACCAACGCCGGGGTCGGCACGACACGAACCTGCCGTATCCTCTCTCCTCGTCCTCCTAGAGCTCGCCTCGCAGAGGAAGAAACAAGGGAGGCCATGCGCATAAACTGTTGGCGCTCCGCGCGGATTCCTTGGATCCGCGCTGTACCTCCCTCCCTGGCGCGCTCCGCGCGCCAGGGGCGGCGCCGGAGGCACCGCCAGGCTCCGCGCCAAAAGTTTATGTTTGTGGCGTCTTTTCTCCGTCCATCGTCTTCGTCCAATCCAGGGGCATGCATGCTTGATTTGATGGCACGTTGGCGAGAAATCCGCACAGCCAGTGTGGTGGAGGAAGCAGGCCGCCTCTGGCGCGCGATGCAACAACCGCGCAGGCTTGAAGAGATCCAGATGGAGACTTTTTGGCGGCTTCGGCCTCTGAGGAGACAGGACTCCCATCGTTAATCTCGACATGGGTACGGTCAATATGGGTACAGAAAGAATCAGTAAGAAGATAGCACTCCATGTTCATTTTAAAGAGGGTTCGCTGACCATGCTTGGAGTGACCTGCCACTTGGATCCTATGGGAACCTCGCTTCCATGAGTAATGCCACGCATCTTGGGCGGGTTCTGCACGCTCGCTTGTTGGGAGTTCGCGCTTTGCTCTGGAGGCTGGAGGATACATGTCTACGACGTGTCGATGAGAATCCGACGCAATCCAGGCAAGACTTAGTAGCAGGTCCGACACCATGTGGTGCTGAGCGTTGAGATCTGCGCCCAGGTGGCTCCCATCCCCCACCCGGGCCGCACTGCTGGTGGCGCCCTCCCGGGGGTCCGTCGAGGGAGGGTTGTGTCATCCCAGGGTGGGGGCTGGGGAACGGGCCCCTCTGGATGCTCCCGTTTGCCGCGTTTCCTTTTTCCAGGCGCCGTTCGGAGCGATGTTCCCTCCAGCCCCATTCAGAGGTCTGAACTCGGTTTGATACTCGAGCTGGGTTGCCAAACTATTCGTTTTGTTCGAGTCATCTTGAGAGGTGCTGTCGATTTACGCACGTAACTCGGGCTGTAGGAGAGCTACAAAGCTCGTAAAGAAGACACCTTTGTGCCCCCCCCCCCTGGCCCTCTGCAGAGCGCACCGCCGACTGCCGGGCCCGGCGCCGCAGGAGGCCGTGGCCATGATCATGCGCGAGCGCGCGCAGAAGCTGGGAGGCCCTCGGCCGCGCCGCGCCGGGCGCCTCGCTGCGGGCCAGGCACGTGTTCACTGTGCTATGCGATGTTCGTCCATCACTTCGTCAGACACGGCGACCCAAACACAGTGTATACACGTTTAAACGTACATATGTATCTGTGTGTTATCTATGTATAATATATATATATATATGTGTATATATGCATATGTATATGCATATGCATATGTATATGCGTATGTGCATATGTGCATATGCGCATCTGTGCATATGTGCATATGTGCATATGTGCATATGTGTATGTATTTATCTATTTATATATGTATTCCTATGTGTATAAAGACACATATTTATACCCCTCGGTCGTTGAACGTAGGAAGTTTGGGATTCCCAGGTTCCAATCTACTTCAGGTGCCCTCCTGCTTCAATGATCGAGTGTCTTTACCTTTTCCGTTCTCTTTAAGGGGCGGGCGGATACCCAATCTATTTTCAACGCCTTCCTACTTAATTGTTCTACCCACTTCTTCCGACCGATCGGTAACTTATCTGTGTATGCTCCCCGTGCCGCCCGGAGAACCGGCCAGAGCATTGTACACTGTACTTGGTCCTGCGGCGTTTCTGCGAAGCCCCCACTGTACAGGGCCCAGATGCTTTGCGTATATACGTGCTGCTCCCACCCGTCCCTCTTGATCGCGCCGTCTTCCTCCTTCGCCTCCCCTCGTCATGCTGTGGTGGCCCCCAGGGAGGGGGGAAGGACCTCCAGGGGATGTCCACTGTCGGCGGCGCGCCCGGGGAGGAGCATGGGGGGGGGGGGCGGGCCTTCTCAGAAGGCTCAGAATGCCTCCAGCCTTCTAAGGAAGCTTCCGAGGCTTCTTCGAAGATGCAGACGATGTCTGAGAAGGCTGGAAGGCTTTTGAGAAGCCCCGCCGCCTTCTGAGAAGGCTTGCCTGCCCCCTGTCAATTCCCTCGGGGAGGAGGGGGGCAGATTTACAGAGAGAGAGAGAGAGGGAGAGAAACAAAACAAAGAAAGAGAGAAAGAGAGATAAGTAAGCATGTACATACGTACGTAAGTAGGTGAGTGAGTAAATCGTTGGCCAGTAAGCAAGTTAACACGCTCCTGGGCGAGCGACTGGTCTGCGGGCAGCACATGCCTCGACCTCGCCAGGCGGCCGGGGCGCGGGCGTGGCTTCCCACAAGCTTGAGACCGTGCCTTCGGGGGGGGGGGGGGGCGACGGGAAGGGAGGAGGAGGAGGACGAGAACGTCGACGAGGGCGAGGAGGACGAGAAAGACGGTGAGGACGGCGAAGACGACGACGACGATGACGACGAGGTGGAAGAGGACGACGACGACGACGACGACGACGACTACCACGACGCCGACGACAACGACGACTACGACGACGACGACGACGACTACCACGACGAAGACGACGAGCTCGACGACGACAACGACGACGACGACGACGATGTCGACGTCGACGACGACGACGACGACGACGACGACGACGACGATGACGACGATGACGACGACGACGACGACGACGACGACGACGACGACGACGACGACGACGACGACGACGACGACGACGGCGGTGGCGGCGACGCCGGCGACGACGACGACGTCAACGACGGCGGGGGGTACTTGATCTCCCCCGCTCTGTGCCCCGTTCAGTTGAACGCTGGCCGATCGTCGCTGCTGGAAGGTGCCTACGGCGAAACGCCGCCGCCTCCCTGCCTTTTTGGAGGCGCCAAAGGTGCCGACAGTTGGGCTAGAGCTTGGCCAAGCTATCGGACCATGTGTGTCCCCCAGCAGTCGTTGAAAGCCTCCGGGGAACATGTGAGGAAGAGGAGAATGAAGAGAATAAGGAAAAGGGAAGAGGAGGGGAGGAGGAGGAGGAGGAGGAGGAGGAGGAGGAGGAGGAGGAAGAGGAGGAGGAGAAGGGGGTGGAGTAGAACTCTTGGGGCATTCTTGGGGGTCCTGGGAGTTTCCTGGGAGCATCTTGGAGGCCTCTTGGGGTCTCCTTCGGCATCTTGAAGGCGTTTGGGGGCTAGCTCGGGGCTTCTTTTGCCGTCTCAGGGCGTTGCTGGGCTGCCTGACGCCTTCGGGAGCCGTCTTGGGTCTTGGGGGCCTCTCTGGACCGTCTTGGGGCCCTATTGGGGCGCTTCGGGGCCGTCTTGGAGGCCATCTTGTGCGTATTGGAGGCCTCTTGGGCCGTCTTGGGCCCCCCTCTGGCCGTCTTGGGGTTTTCTTTGGCCGTCCTGGGGACATCTTGGAACCCTCTCGGGCGCTCTGGGGGCGATCTTGGAGCCCTTGTAGGCCGTCTTAGGCCTTCGGAAGACTGGCATAACAACCTAAGGCACGTGAATGGCTTTGGCCTCTTAGGGCTTCCCTGGGGGACTTCTTGGAGACCTGTTGGGCCATCTTGGAGGTATCTTCGGGGCCTTTCGGGCCGTCTTGGGCCATATTGGAACCAGCTTGGGCCGTACTTTGTATCTTCTTGGGCGGGCTTGGACGCATCTTAGACCCTCCTGGTCCGTCTTGGAGGCCATCTTGGGCGAACTTGGATGCCATCTTGGGCCATCGCAGCCGGCTTGGAGGCATTCCTGGGAGCGTCTCACGCGGGAAGAACAACAGGGTGGTCAGCGGCATCGGCCGAAGCCCCACGGGGAGTTCTCAAAGAGCCTCCTGGAACCTAGCATACCAGGCACCTCTTTGGCAAGCCAACATGGGGCGGCGGATCGATTGGCCTTCGGTCAATATTGCTACCGTGCCTGAGTTGCAGGTCAGAGACTCTAAAGTGAGCTGGGGCAAAGGCGAGAGATAGCGAGCGTTTGTCTGCGGCCGTTTGTGTTCAAGCGGCCGGACGCCGACATATGATTGCGCCTCATCGCGAGGCACACTACTTGCCATCGAGACCGAAAACATCTTCGCTTGAGATGGCCCGTCGCTCCCGCGACGACCTCCTTCGTCTGGGACTATCGTTACTACGGTACAACAGAGCTGGAGTTGGGCTTCGCCTAGGGCGAAGCTGCTGTTTGGGCCTCCCAAGCCCCCTCTCAAACTTGGTAGCGGTGCTGGCAGATGGTGATCAGCTCTAGCTCTACTCCTCACCATCCACGGCACTATCTGGTGGACTCCTGGCATGGTGGAACATCAGGGTGCAGTGGGTCTGGGCGGAGGAATGTACATAACTACGCACACCTGCCAGGAGACTTGCTGTGCTACCTCCGCTCTCGCGGAGGCCTCCTCGCTCGAGTCCTACATCCCTGCGCTACTACTCTCCTGAAGTCCACCCACCTACTCCACTTGGAAACTTGTTTGGAGATACCATGCATGGCAACATGCGATACGATATTGTGCCGCCTCCACTCCCACGCAGGCTTACAACAAAAAACCACAGACCCCAGCCACGAATACCCGACCACGGGGCCATTGGATTATCATTATTATATTTTGCCTTCTACGGGCTGCTATCAGGTGTGCTGTGGGGCATATGCGTGGCGGAGACGACACAAGAATCACCGGCCCCCACCGGGGCCGGGCCGGTCAAGTCCCTTTTTTCCGCGAATTCGCTCGAGAGGTACATGCCTGGATCAACGTGACCGCAGGCAATATCACTCCCTCTTCACAGGCCGCAGCAATGCAGCGTGGAATGGGAGGCCTCGCACGGACCATAGCCATGAGAGTTCCCGCCGGAGTCATCAAGTTTGGCGTTAGCATTGGTGGTCGTCACACCGATGGCGCCGCTTACATAATGTTCCTCCTTAGCACGATGTTTGAGAACTTAGAGGCGGAACGCTAACTTAACTCGGGAACGGCTCTCATCGACTTTCGCGTCCATGCGGGAGAACGGATCGACCAGAAATTCGCGCGCTTCGAGATAGCCCGCTACGAGGCTGAGACGGCAGGCTTAAACATCCCCAACTTCCCAATCCTAACAGATTCCCAACCCTCCTGCGTTAGGTCCTCGTTTTGAATAGAGCAGCTGCGGTCTCGACTCCTCTCCTCTCCTCTCTTCCCTGCGTCTTACCTCGCTCGCTGTTGCGTGCCAGCTTGCTTCTGCGATCCGCGAAAGTGTCGCCATTTTCGAGGGCTGCTGAGGGGCCCAACGGAGTGGGGTCATACGCAGATTCAGATTCGACCTCGCCATTCCTGGGGGGGCTGCGATCTGCCAAACTGTCGCCACTTTCGAGGGCTGCTGGGGGATACAGCGGAGTAGGGTCATACGCAGATTTAGATTCGACCTCGCCATCCTTGGGGGGCTGCCACCTGCGAAACTGCTGGGGGGCCCAGCGGAATGGGGTCATACGCAGATTCAGATTCGACCTCGCCATCCTTGGGGGGCTGCGACCTGCGAAATTGTCGTCACTTTCGAGGTTGCTGGGGGGCTCAGCGGAGTAGGGGCATACGCAGTTTCAGATTCGACCTCGCCATCCCTGGGGGGCTGCGACCTGCAAAATTGTCGCCACTTTCGAGGGCTGCTGGGGGGCCCAGCGGAGTGGGGTCATACGCAGATTCAGATTAGACCTCGCCATCCCTGGGGGGGGCTGCGACCTGCGAAACTGTCGTCACTTTCGAGGGCGAATGGGGGGCCCAGCGGAGTGTGGTCATACGCAGATTCAGACTCGACCTCGCCAGTCTTGGGGGGGCTGCGATCTGCCAAACTGTCGCCACTTTCGAGGGCTGCTGGGGGATACAGCGGAGTAGGGTCATACGCAGATTTAGATTCGACCTCGCCATCCCTGGGGGGCTGCCACCTGCGAAACTGCTGGGGGGCCCAGCGGAGTGGGGTCATACGCAGATTCAGATTCGACCTCGCCATCCTTGGGGGGCTGCGACCTGCGAAAGTGTCGTCACTTTCGAGGTTGCTGGGGGGCTCAGCGGAGTAGGGGCATACGCAGCTTCAGATTCGACCTCGCCATCCCTGGGGGGCTGCGACCTGCGAAACTGTCGCCACTTTCGAGGGCTGCTGGGGGGCCCAGCGGAGTGGGGTCATACGCAGACTCGCATTAGACCTCGCCATCCCTGGGGGGGGCTGCGACCTGCGAAACTGTCGTCACTTTCGAGGGCGAATGGGGGGCCCAGCGGAGTGTGGTCATACGCAGATTCAGACTCGACCTCGCCATTCTTGGGGGGGGCTGCGACCTGCGAAACTGTCGCCACTTTCGAGGGGTGTTAGGGGGTTCACGCTGAAGTCCTGACGTCCACGGCCTGCCAGGGCCGCACCATGCACCGCGGTGCCATCATCGACGCCGGGGGCAAGGATGAAAAGATAATTGACGACCTCTGGCTCCATCTCTAGGTGATGCTGTCCATGGCAACGACCGTGGACAACCTGCTGATGATGCGCGACCCTGGACTGGATTTCCTCGCCCGCGGGCCGCCCGCGGACTTACCGGCGCGCCTTCGTGCGTTTAGCTCGCGCATTGAAGAGTGCAGGAAGGAGGCAGAGAAGCTGGCGGGCGAACTAGGCCTCGCTCATTTCCTGCACTAACTAAAAGCAGGTTCGACCATTTTTTCGGGCGCCGCGTCCGTAGATTGACTTGGGGCAAAGGCGAGAGATAGCGAGCGTTTGTCCGCGGCCGTTTGTGTTCATGGGGCCGGCCGCCGACATATGACTGCGCCTCATCGCGAGGCACACTACTTGCCATCGAAAACGACGACATCATCGCTTGAGATGGCCCGTCGCTCCCGCGACGACCTCCTACGTTTGGGACTATCGTTACTACGGTACAGCAGAGCTGGAGCTGGGCTTCGCCTAAGGCGAAGCTGCTGGTTGGGCCTCCCAATCCCGTTCAAACTCAGAGGCGTCCATTGTGGCCCGTTTCGGGACGCTTGTGGCTGAGGACTGGGGGCTGCAAGGGGCCTGGGGGCACTATAACTCGCGCCTCGCGGCACAGTGACAGCCTCTATCTTGACCGTCAGCGTTAACAGTGTATGAGGGGAGAGGTGAAGGAGGAGAAAACAATTTCTCTGGAAGCCATGCCCGCCTACGTGGGAGATCCCCATATCTGCCTGCCGTGCGCTCGTTTTTCTCGCCCCACTGGGCTCGAGCCGATGCCGAGCTTGTTCAAGAGTTCCCTGTCGTTCCTTCCAAGGCTCCTCGGCGCTGCCCAGATGGCGATCTCGGCCCTAGGGCGCCCGAGTCTTTCTTTCACGATGCGGTCGACGTCTGCTCCGAGCTGCATTCAGGACGAGATCGCCCACTAAAGCAGGACCTTGCCCTCGTCCTTTTTGATTTCTGCTGCTTCTGCTTGCCCTGCGGGCCCCTGGCTCTGCAGTGTGTGATATCGCGGTCCATGTCTGCCAGCTCATACTTTATGAGTTGACCCGTTTTGTACGTTTGCTGAGTTTCGCGAGTGGGACCCTCCTCCGTACGTGCTTTCGGGCAAATCGCGTACGACATTTTTCCCGACGTGCAAATAGCGAAGATTGCCCATCCTGGCCGCGTCACCGAGCCGCCTGTTTTGCAGGCCTTTCTGAGGTACATGACCGTTGCATGGTACCATGCTCACGCCTCAGCCGCTGCCTTGACGGGGAGGCGTTCCGCCGAGCGAGCACCGTCGCGAAGACTGGGTTGACGGCCGCCTTCAAGTCCGCCGCCACTGGGGAGCACCAGCTTGCCCATGATCGCAGTGAGGATCTGGTCGGTCTGCGCCTGGTGCGCTCTTTTGCCTGCTTGCCCCCTTGCCTGCGCTGCGACACCCTCGCTCTCCACCTGCTTGCAGGAATCCGCGCCGCTGGCATCCGCTGGCCGGTTGCCATCCGGGAGCAACCACGCTGGTCCCTCCCCCAGGTCCTTCATCCGGCCGTCGTCGCCTAGCATCGCTGTCGCGGAGGACCGTGATGCAGTAGCGGGCGCAATACTATCAGAAAGAAATGTGAGTTGTCAGATTTCGCCACCTTCAAGAGAAACAGCCGTGATCTTTTTCTATCCCTTTCCCGCCCCGTCGTCGGTGTCCTCCCCGTCTTCATGTGACCAGGCGTAGCACGACGTTCGAGCGATGTCTGTTCCTCAGTGGGGTCAAGGGCGCGGGCCATATCCACGACACGGTAGCAACATGTTGAATAGAGCGTGCCAGGTGTTTTCGTGTCCGTGCTTGGCGATGCGGATACGGTCTCACATGCGAACTTGGTTGGCAGGGCTGAAGATCAAGCAAGTACTACCGACATTATGTATATGTGGAACGCGTGTACGTAGTGCGCGCTTGCAGTAGCGCAACCGCCCGCGCATATTTCCCTCCACCTCCGCACCGCATGTGACCAACGCGTCCATCTCGTGAATGAACGGTTGCTCCTCCGAAGGCTTTGGTCGATGGTTTGGGGAGCATACACGTTTGGGGCAGGATGTTGGTCTTCAACTCTCAGATTGAAATTTCGCCAGTTTATTTTTTACTCGTTGTGCATCCGATTAGTTCGAGATGCATGCGAGCATGTATGGGGTTAGTCGCCGCATAGGTAGTCCGCCAACGTTCGCAAGTGTCGTAACCGTTTCTGGTCGGAGGCGCTGAAGGATCGACAAGTTGTCGCGGCATGGGCGTACGCAGGAATGCGTTCGTTGGCACGTACATGCAAGCACAGGCGAGAAATCTATTATGTAAACTTCTGGGGTTCGAGTAGCGGAGAAGACGCGACGGTTGTCCCATGAACGCCGTTTTGATGTGCCAATTTGGAAAGTTTGTGGTTGATGGTTGTGGCAAGTAACTTGTTACCCGACTTTGGGTTAAGAGTGGTAGTGTACAGTGAAGCGATGTTTTTTTCAGCACGTGGCGACACGACTCGCGCGAAGCATCTTACACCTTTTGCATGGTGTACCAACCAACCACACGAACGGCAACGCAGTCGCTGAGAGGTTCGCACTCGAGAAATCATTCAACAGATTTACCATCGCCTGCGATCGAAAACATGCGGTGGAAGTTGCTAGGGGCTTCTGCCGCTTGTGTATAGTTTTGGGCATCCCGGTTTCAGACAATTCACTTGGGGTTTGGCTAATCTCATATTGGGTGGAATGTCATTTACGCGGCCACGCATCGAAGCAATATTGTGGCACAGCCGCGACTACATCAAGATCAACGACCCATTCGTCAGCATGACCATAGATGTCCAACAGTCTTGGAAAGAGCTGACACCCCATGACCGATCCGAAACCACCAGCCTGACAAAGGCGAATTTGCATTGAGATGGGGGCGCGCGCATTGGAACATTTCCCGCTGCAGCGTACGTTTTGGAATCACATGGGCAGATCGCTGACTCCAGGTCTTAGATGCCCAGCGGAGTGCGGCACCATGGAAAACATCAGTCTCGTTGATCTTGGAGACGAGGAGTGGGGCCGGGCCTGTTTTATTCGAGGTGCCCCTGAGATAACGCAGTTGTGGCTTCGACGACTGGCACTTGATCATCAGATTCCTGGATAACATTTGGAGTTCAATTTGGGTTGAGCTGTTTGAGTCCTTGTGCATGGCTCATGGTAGTCAGGCTTATTCAAGTGCACTGCACGTACTGCTCTTGAGCGAGTGTGTAGTTTCGCTAGCGCACCTTCACACAATCGGTGTTTATTGATGCGGTTGTGGTGGTGTCCTGTTCAGTCGCAGTGGAGAATTGAGCGCGCTTGTGAATTTGCGGCCGCGGTAGACGATGCGGCAGGTCAGGCGCTTGTCAGGGGCATTCTCTCGAAGAGGACCTGCAGAGCATCGACGGCGCTCATGTGGAGTCTGTGGTCGTAGCGCGCGTCTGTCGGCAGATCGTCCAGTTAGTAGTTACAAATGGGTTGTCGTCCACAAATCGTGAATCAGCCAGCCATACCCGCCGACCACTGCGCAGCCCCGAGCCACCCCCCGCGACCGTACCGCCATCACGGGATATGTGAATTGTAGGCCAGCTGTACGATGGTACGGACGGGGCGAAAATGAGGTGTGCCATTTTTGTGAGTGTGTTCATCTTCGATCGAGTCGCGGACGCCCATGTATTCGACCTTCTTCCCTGCTCTTCTATCGGCAGGCACCAATGACAGAAACGTTGTGTTAGTTATCGTGAGGGCACCCGTTCTCAGCACAGTTGCAGAGATGGGAGCTTGGAGCAGAAAACGGGCCAGAGTTGACCTGGCACACCTTTCAATTCGCTGCAGCGGCGAGGGACCATCTGATCAGGTGCTCCAGCCGTGCTAATGATGATTTCATCGATCCCCAATTATAGCCAATGTGAATCGTATTGAACCGTTGCTCTTGGAACAGTGTCAGACATCTGTGTTTGCCGAGGGCATGCGTTTTGGAGTCGTCCTGCGTTGAGTTTACTCAATTACCCCCCCTTCCGCCATCCTCTGTTTGAGGTTTCCTGCGGTGCAAGCTTGCATGATGATTCAGTAGCTTTGTTCAATGACGTGTAGTTTGGGGAAACACGGTTTTGGTGTTCGGTATCTCATACTTGTTTACGTTGTACTGTGTTTCGTCAAGGAACACATTGGCATGCGCGCGTGCTTGAAGACGTTCCTCTCTTGATGATTCTTCTTGTCGGAGTGTGGCGTCGGATGTAGCGCATATGTGTACGCTCAGCACGGCCTTCAATCAGGGCAACTCATCCCGCAAAGGCATCCCCCTTCCCCATGTGGGCAGCGCTGTGCAACGAGGAAGCTAGCTGTTGGGCATTTGTGACACGGAAACTTTGGGACCGAGGTCATTGGAGGCCACCAGATTGCGAGCTGCGGATAACGAGACCACCGTAGCGCCCGTTCTGCAATCATGGAGGTGGTCTGAAAGCTCGTGCTGCTGAGCGAAGGAGGCAGAACGAGGGTGCGGCGCGTGCTGAGCGCAGAGGTGCAGGCAAGAGAGGCAGCATCAGCGGACGCAGCACGCGATGGGGCCTCCGACGGGGCGCGCCAGAGACCCACAGAGCGCCAGCGCGGGGGGCAGCGCGGAGCTTGCGACTTTCGTGGCGCATCTCTGCATCGCTTCCGCTCCCCTCCGAACATCCATTCCGGCAGCGCCAGCTCCTCGCGAGCAGGTCCTGGTGCGCCTCCAGCCGGCAGCGTCGCGCAGGGGGAGTTCCAGCCTTGCTTCGCCACCACGGTCCACGGGGGGGCCATGCATGTCCGCCCTCAGCGGCTGGCTTACTGAATGCCACGGGGCATCAGTGGAGAAACGACAGGTAAGGACGGGGTAGTAGAGTGGAGGAGGAGGTGGAGGTGGAGAAGGAGAAGGAGGAGGAGGAGGAGGAAGAGGAGAAGGCGAATGTGGATGTTGAGGATCGGGAGGTGTAAGTCTCTCCCACGATTCGGAGGACTCGTGGTTGTTTCGAGGCGTCCAGCTTCGGTCTCTTCATGGCTTCCTCCTCCTTCGTCATGTCAAACTTCAGTCCGCTGGCATTCCAGCAGGATCTTCAGCGTGAATTGGTTGCCCCTCTCGTGATTCTTCACTTGGAGACATGTCATGCGAATTTGACTGCGTATGTAAATGCGTATGCTCTTCATGGATGCGTTGGATGCATTGGTCAGGGCGACGCCACTAGCTAAAAGCTGTGGACACATATGTAGCTCACGAAGATCTGTTCGGTGAGCCAGGGGCGACGTCATGCCGTTGCTGTGGTTCCCCGAGTTCGGAAGGTCATACAGGTTCGGCTTAGTACAGATGTGCAGCACTCGCGTTCGAACCGATTCAGACTTACCCTCGTCCGTTAAATTCCTACTCCATTGTGTTGTTCCGCGCATCCCTTCGGCTGGAGTGAAATCAAGCTTGCTCAGAGCGCACCAGTGTTCAATAACTGTTTTGAGCGTAAGCTGCATGGTGTTTCAAAGTTGTCTGGTTAGTCGGGGATGCCAACGTACAGTTGTCAGAGCTAGCATCGGGGGCGTCCAAGAGTGCGGTGATGACTAGGGAGGGGATATCATGGCTGGGGCCACGATATCTCCTCAGATTTCTTGCCCCTTCTCTTTTCTCCAATGCGTTCCCTGGCCCACCATGGCCTGCGCACATGTCTCGGGCCACGATTTGCGAACTTCCCTCTTGGACACCCCCCTCTTTCCACGCACCCGAAGCAGTTGGAAAAACGTTCTGGCCGTGCTGCCACTTGCAGAGCGAGGATGGTCCTAGATTGCCGTTGCACTCTGGCCGTCGTTGCCGCAGCGCTCTGGCCGTCGTTGCCGTAGCACGCGCAGGCTTCTGCTGAGTCGGCCGTCCATTTCGGCACAAGGAGGAGGAGGAGGAGGAGGAGGAGGAGGAGGACAAGGAGGAGGAGGAGGGGCAGCAGGAGGAGAAGGAGGGGCAGCAGGAGGAAGAGGAGGAGGAGGAGGAGGAGGAGGAGAAGGGCAGCAGGAGGAGGAGGAGGAGGGGCAGCATGAGGAGGAGGAGGAGGAGGAGGAGGAGGAGGAGGAGGAGGAGGCGGAGGGGCAGCATGAGGAGGAGGAGGAGGAGGAGGAGGAGGAGGAGGAGGAGGAGGAGGGGCAGCAGGTGGAAGAGGAGGAGGAGGAGGAGGAGGAGGAGGAGGAGGGGGAGGAGGCGCTCACTCGCTCAGGGCGGCAGGGCCCCGCACACACCGTCGGAGGGCACCCGCTATACGCCTGCGCCGGTCCTTGCCAGGCCGACCCTGGGCCCAGGATCTGTGTAGATGCCGTCCTGCCCAGGCCAGGACGGTGTGTGCAGCGGTCTTGGGCTCAGGATGAGCTTGGCCATGATCGGTGTAGGTGTACAGTTGGCATCCTCCCATCCCACCCCCCCGCGTACGAGGAGAGGCGGAGGAGGGGGGGAGGAGGAGGATGAGGAGGAGGAGGAGGAGGATGAGGAGGAGGAGGAGGAGGAGGCGGAGGCGGAGGATGAGGAGGAGGCGGAGGAGGAGGAGGACGAGGATGAAGAGGGAGGAAATGGCGGAGAGAGGAGGAGGGTGGGAGGAGAAGGAGAAGGAGGAGGGAAGGAGGAGACGGAGAAAGAGGAGGGGAAGGAGCAGGGAGGAGGAGGGAGGAGGAAGAGAGAGCAGGAGGAAGAGGAGGAGGCGGAGGAGGAGGAGGAGGAGGAGGAGGAGGATGAAGAGGGGGAGGAGGGAGGAGGGAGGAGGATGGAGGAGGAGAAGGAGGGATGAGGGAAGATGGAGGGAGCATGCTGCTGAGCTCGACCCTCAGCCGCCGCTGCGAGCGGAGGTCCCTGACTCGGACCAGGAGAACCGCGAGAACCGACAGCCCGCATGTCACGGCGAGGCGGTACCAGGCGCCCTGTGTTCCGCGTGCCAAAGGGGGAGTCCAGCGCCGGCCAAGAAATCCGCGCCTACCGCCAGAAGTTCATGTTCATGCAGTTGTTCCTTGTTCTATGCTGACCGTGCGCTGCATCCTTGCATGCGGAGCACGGCCCCCAGACACCCAACGGCTTGACAAAATGCAGGACGGAGGTTTTTCGTCGGTCTCAGCATCTTGGGGCCCCCGCCCGACCCTGGGGCCGTCAAACACCGACCCAGGACTAAGAACGGGCCCTGGGGAGAGGGCCGGGGCTTCTGGCGACCCCGTCCGCATGGAGAACATCGAGAAGTCGGATGTCTGGGCCCTTGCGTGCGGAGCACGCTCATGACCGCAGAAGGTGTCGCGAAGACGCCGCGAAAGCGCGTGCAGCCGCCGCCGCCGCCGCCGCCCGCGCCCCCACTTCCCTCTTTGTCTGCTGGCCATGCCTGGGAGGCGGGGCGCACGCGGCGCAGCGCGGCCTGGGCGACAGCTGGGCGCCCCCGTGGCCAGAGGTCTCCCCCGGCGCTCCCCGCCTGGAGGCCCCGAGCCCGAGCACAGTATGTGACTACCACCACCAAGATCGATAATAATATACGATGCGAGTTGGTGCAGTTTTGCTATGGTGAAAAGCCCGCAGTCCCCCCCCCGCCGCCAGCGGCAACCGGGCTGCCCCCTCTCTCTCCAGGACCGAAACAGAATTCATCAAAGCACGCGCGGTGGTGGTGTATATAATTGTGGTTACCAAGGGGAGCGATTTTCATACACTACCACCAAGAAGTGTTGGTTCTGTTTCAGGAACTCCCCATGCCACGGCGCTTGCGAGCTGCGCCGCGCCCCTTTTCGCCGTGGCGTCGCAGCGTCGTCTGGCATGACCCTGCCCCTAACCCTTATTGCGGAAAATTACTGTTGCGGGCGGTGGTGGTGTATACAAATTGGCCTCGCACCGAGGGGGCGGCGGCTGGTGCTGGCAAGGCATGGCCAGGGCAAGTCGTATCTCCCGGGGTTCGCGAACGCTTCGGCTGCCGCCAGTCTGGCAGACTCCGAGAGGGGCCACATTCGTGGACGCGCCGCTCGCCTCAGAGGTGTGCCCACAGGCGGCCAAAAAGCGGTCGCACCGCGCGCGTTTGTTGGTCAGTTCTCGCCAAACGCTACAGCCGCGGAGGTCACATGAATCATGCCTTGCAAGGCGACCTTACACAGCAATGCTGCATGAGAACACACATGGTGAATCAACATCAAAGGTTGTGTGCTTGGTGTGGGTGGTCAGTTCCGCATTGCACGCGCACACGCATAACGGCACGGCGCGGCGCTCGGGCACATCACGGTACGGCACGTTCGCTGCTTCCTGGAATTTAGGCACGGCACGGCACAAGGGCACGGCACGTTTTTCTCGCATTCCCGAGCTTCAGGAAGGCACGGCACGCGGGCACGGCACGGCAGGTTATTGGCAGTCTAGATCCTAGGCATGGCATGGCACGCGGGCGTTGCACGGCACGGCACGCCGCCGATACATTTGTCGCGTTCATTGTTCTAGAAACTTACTCCCGTAACGCATCTCAGACCCTTTTACAGCGCTCGCTTTTCAGGGAACAAGGGACACGCTGACAGCCGCTGCTGCGACGGTGGCCACGCTCCGTGCGTGCAACGGGCGACGATACAGTCATGCTGCGGACATAAGGACCTTTTTGTACCCAGGCGGAGCTCCCGTGTTCGGGCCGTCCCTGAAAAGAAGCTCGGGGGACCCATTCGTTGCCTTGGCTCGCCGTGGCCAGGTAAACCCTTTCTTTCCCCAAGCGGTGTTTGCATTCGGGGGTTTTCGCTTGTCGCCTGTGTAATCGGGCATGCGCGTCGGTTTGGCGGCTAAGTTGTCGCCGTCGCAGCCTCGTCGCCGGCCCACGTCTCAGAGCCCGCGCGTCGGCCTGGCGGCCGTGTCGTCGCCCTCGCCGCCCCGTCGTTGCCTCGTCGCCTCCCATCGTCTTGGCCTGTGCGCCGGTCTGGCGGCCATTGTTGTCGCCGTCGCCGCCGCCCGTCGTCTGGGCCTGTGCGTCGATCTGGCGGCAATGTTGTCGCCGTCGCCGCCTCGTCGCCGTCGCCGTCGCCGTCGCCTGGGCCTGCATCGCTTTGCAATGTTCGGCATTGTCTTACATCACTGCGCGTTGGTGCGCATGTCTTTGCGAGATTAGCGTAGTACTGCATGGCATTGCGTTGCATTGCGTTGCTTTAGAATGGCGTTGTTTTCGTTGCGGTGTTCTGCGCTGCATTGCAGCGATTGCGCCGCATAGTTGCACCGCATAGCTTGCACAACATCGATCGCATCATGTAGGTCGCACGCATTTTGCACCACATGTGTCGCACAACATAGATCGGACGACAGATGCTGCACAACACAGACTGCACAGCATAGATCGCACCGCATCTAATGTCGCTTATGAAAAAGGAATTAGGATCCACCACCCTCCCGGGGCCAGGGTTATCGGTCCACCCCTGGGGATGTGCAACTTGCATACGATTATGTTCCATCTCCCCTTCTAATTCTGAGTTCATACCATCCTAGCTAAAACCGCCCTCACCCGCCATCATCCTCGTCACATAAAACTACGCGCGCACTCGTTTATCGACAGTTCGTCAGTTCGCAAGAATCCATGCGACCATTCGGGCCTCTTCGCGCGCGCATGTCGAAATCATTCGACCACCTCTGGGCGCTTGCTGGGGGGCACGACCCATGTCAAATAATACCATGCGGGCCACTCGCGCGTGTCGGCCTCGCACGCATACCGAAATCCTTCCAAAACCTTCATCGCCGACACGTGGATACCATCATCGTCATCGGCGTGATCAGCATTGGTGCCGTCATTGGCTTTGCCGTCGTCATCGCCATCGTCATCATCAGCATGGCTACTATCATCATTGCGTGTGCCGTTAGCGGGGTCGCCATGCTACCGCGTCCGCCCGAGTCACCAAATCGCATTGAAGTGCCCGCGCGTCAGCGCGGCCTGCGGGACGCGCTGAGAGGGCCCCAGCTTTCAGCACTAGCGCGGCCGCAGCGATGCGCCAGCCAGCGCTAAGCAGCCATCGCAATCGCCGCCCGCAGGAGTGCTGCAAACCAAAATTCGGGTGGATGGGTGGGATGATTGCGCGAGCAGTGGAGTTGCCAACTTCAGGTTCGGCAGGGTGAGTTGCACCACGTAGGTTGCACCGCATATGTTGCACCACGTAGATTGCGCCACGTACGTTGCCCCACAGTCACTTCGCAATGTTTGGGGTCCACGGTGGCTACTATTCAGCGTTCCCCATGGTAGCACGAGTTTTGTGTCGCCAGCGGGGGGGGCTTTCCTGCGCCACTTCGAGTCGCGCTCTTCCCGCGAGGACGTGTGCAGCTTGGGGTCTTTGCGCGCCTGGCTTCTGCGGGGCCCCTTATGGCACGCTATGCGTGAGCGCCGCCGCCATCGGCGCCGATCCCGTCGATGCTCTTTTTAGGACAGTCCAAGCCAGCGCTGAGGATGGGCCCGTTTCGCAAGGGCACAATTGATGTCCATGTTCAGCGCGTCTTGGACTTCCTTGGAAGGGGAGCCACGAGGCTGGATATGTATAAAGATCGAGCCCCCAGGGGGCAACCTTATCCATATCCAGTGCGCCCCGACTTTCCGGTGACGGGAGCCCGCAATTCCATCTTGCAGTGGAGATGGACACAAGTACTGCGCGCACTTTTTGCAAGGGCACCGTCTCATCCTTCGGCGCTGGCCATCCTTAGCACGTGTTCGTCCTCCCTGGCCCACGGATGCCCTTGCGGGCGCGCGCATCTTTGGCCTTCGCGCTGCAGACTGGCGCGTGTTTGGGAGGGCCGGCGCGTTTTGCTCTCCAGTTCGACGCGTCCCCAGGGCCGTGCATCCTGAAACAGCATCCGCGTGTCTGGTGTGACTGTTGTGCCTACCGTCAGGTGCCTGCGCGCCTCACGGAAAGGGCACCGCGGGGACGGACGACGACCTGGCCGACGCCAAATGTTCCGTCTTGGCCGTGAGGGAGGACCCCCCCACTTTGTGCCCTCTGACCTTCCGTCGGGAACCTTTGTTTAGCGTGCGGCGCCGCGAGTTCTGGCCCTCCGCGCTTCGGCGCGTCACGCTAATCACGTCCCCGTCTCCGAATTGCCAACGTCCCGAGGTTTTCCCCGCTTCCAGTCCCGCGGAGCGGAGCGACACGTTTCCCGCTGGCGTGGCATAGCTCGTCGCCGTGGGCGCCGCCGCGACACGCTAAGCAACAGTTCCTGACCGTATCTGCTGCCAGCTGTGCCGCCGACTTGCTCACCGTCGTTCTCCAGAGGGTGGTTGCGCGGGAGACGGTCGGTCAGCAGCTTGCCGCCACTGGTCAATAGGGAAGTTCATTTGCAGTGGCAGGCGGCCGCGTCTCGCAGGACCCCCGCAAGATGCCCTCGTCTGTGCGACCATCCCGGTCGCCCTTTCGTTTGCGACCTCTATTTGTTGCAGTTGAATGGAGCTTGCATTCTGGCTGACCAACGATCTGATTCATATCTGTTCCGTGCGGCTATGAGTCCAGAGGCACGGCACGGGAGTGGTACAGTCAAGTCGCATAGTAAGGACGAGCATTTTTCCAATGCTTCCCTTGCATCTTTGCCGCTTCAGTGGGTCCCTGGCGACCTTCGCTGGCCAACCCCGCTCGGAAACGCCAGCATTGCCCTCCAGGGCCCTTGCACCCTCACCGCGCATCCCTGTTGTGCGCCTCGACTGTACCAGGAAGCTGGATACACATGACGTGGCAGGCCTGGGCGATAGCTGGATACACACGTGGCCAGGTGACCTTCGGATGGCCCACAGTCGGCGTCACCTCAATATACTAATACGATGTGTGAGTTGCCCCCCCCGGGGGGCGACGTGCGCACTGAGAAATCTTACTATATGCGCGTCGTGGCGGGCGCTTTCTGGCCACACCGCTCGGGAAACGATATACTACAATATGGGTATACTATATGTTGGGGTCGGACGCGCGCGTCTCCAAGGAGGACATCTAGTACTAGTATGCCTCTGTGCGTCCCGGTTCGCAGGTCCAGCCACGTACGGTAGGTCCGTTTTGTTTCGACCGGCGACGACCCCGCCGCTGGCGTTCAACGTTGAACGCCGCCGGCGACCCAGAGTCGGTCGATGTTGAACGATCTGACGTTTTGGAAATGGCCGATCGGTCAAGGCTGAACGATCCCCGCGGTGTCAGGAACCAACGCCGGGGTTCCCACGACACGAACCTGCCCAAGGAGGACACATGTATAGTATCAGTATTTTTCTGTGCGTCCCATGGCGCGCGGAGCGCGCGAGGGGCGATGTTGGCGCACCTGAGCCTTGGCTCGTGGGCACGTTGGGCACTCGGGGTGCTTAGGCTCGTGCGTGAAGAACGGGGAGGCGGGGGTGCTGCTCTGCCGACAATCGATGCCGGGCCTCGGTGCCGCCCTGCGTCGTCGATCGCAGGAGCCTCCGTCATGGCTCGCAGTTGTCAGAGGCCAGCAACATATGTACACGTACGCGGTTAGCTTCCCCTGGAGTGCGTGTCAACGCGGACGTTCGTGCAGGCAAGACCGCGGAGGGCGTACATGTACATGTGTCGTTGCTCGCCCAAGTTGGGCTCGGATCCAGCTGCGCGTGCTTCCCGCGTCCTGGCACCTCGGCCTCTGCCGCCGCTCGGGAGGGCGGGGGCGGGGGCGGCCGACGCCCGGGCGCGCGGCGGCCAGGGACGCGTGCTTCTCCAGCCCTCGGCCCTCCCTGTGTCGAGCAGGCGAGCGACGCGCAGAAACAGGTGGTCGTCTGCGCCGACTTCGGCGCGCAGGCTGCCCGCGTGAGGTCGCGCGTGGGCACCCGCGTCTCCAATGCAGCGCGCCGCGCTGGCGGCCCGCGTAAACCGCCGCGTAGGGCTGCCACGTCGTCTCGCGTGAGACCCCTCGTTCATCGTCGCTCGCATGGCGTTCCAGCCCTCGGCCCTCCTCTGTCCAGTGAGTGAGTGGCCTTCGGAGGGCCCGCGGGTGAATCCAGCCACGTCTGCTTCCCGCTGCCTGGCACCTCCTCCTCCTCCTCCTCCTCCTCCTCGTTTTCCTCCGTTGCCATTTTGGCTCAAGATCGTGACAGGCCCGTTTTGAGCGAGGCAGCCCTCTTCTCGGGGCTTTCCAGCTGTCGAAGGCTGGCGGACTTTCCAGACTCCCTCCCGCCATGGCCGATGCCGTTCCTGATGCGCCCATGGTGTCCTCTCAGGGGATGCCTGCGCTCGCGGGAGGCCGCTCCCACCTTTCCCGACGACGAAGGTCAGCGAGCCTGTGGCAAAGGCAAGGGCATTGGCCGCTTCGTCTCCCGCAAGAGGCAAGCTGCTGCTGGCCCTGATGACGCTGCTCCCGCTCCTGCTCTCGCTGACGACGAAGATGAATACTATTCCGATGACTTCCTGCGGCAGTTGTGCCGCAAGGAGTTCGTTGCCACGCGCTCCGCCATCACCCTGGAGGTCAGCTCCGCCGTGTCCAAGACAGTCGGCGACAACCACACCACCCTGGTCAATCTGCTTTCTAGAAAGCAGGCTGAGGTATCCAAGCAGTCTGCGAGATCGACTCGCTGGTCCAGTCCGCCCTCGTTCCGAGGATGGACTCGCTCACGAGGCGGCTCCAGACGCAGATTGACGAGCACACGGTGCTCATCACCTCTATCTCTTCGAGGGCTGACGGCCACGACGCCGCCATCGCAGCGCGGCGTGCCCAGGTCACCGGGCTCCAGCGTCAACTTGTGGTCGCTGCGGGAGCCCCCCGCCCGAAGTTCGAGATCAAGCAGCGCGGTGAATCTCCTGCTCCCCGTTTTGAAGTACATCTCTCTGGAACAAGTGGCGCTGCTGCCCGCAAGGCGGCCAAGGCGATCTCTTCTCTCAAGGATGACAACGGTTGGCGCGAGTTCTGCGTCGCCCCTCTTGTCACCGATCGGTGCCGCCTCCACCTTGGCCCCGACAACAGTCCAAAGCATATCAAGCTTGAAGTTACGTTGCGCAAGGCCTGGCAGCTCATCGACGCTCAGCTCCCTGGCAAGAGGCTGTTCTCCAACCGTGGGCGCGGGGTCCTCTCTGTCGGCCGGGACAAGTTCATGCAGATCGAAGCCTTCCGCGTTGACACGCCGCCGAAGATCCTTTGGGACGCGCACCAGGTGCGCAAGCACGAGATGTCCGTCGACACGCTCCGCGCCGCGGTCCAGGAGTTCACGCACCCCGCTGGCCCGAGTCGGTGGTGTCTTTAGGTGCGGTTGCGCTATTCCGTTTTCCTCCTCTTCCCGCTGGTATGTATGCGCCGACTCTTCGGGCTGCGTCCTGGAAAGCTCGTGCCCCTCTTCAAGCTGGCGGGGATAAGGCCATCTTGAAGCGCGTGTACCTGCTTCGCCTCCAGCCGCTCGAGACCATCTTGGCCCTCCAGGAGGTTTACCAGGATCACCCTCAACTCGTCTCCTTCCTCAGCTCCGTCGGCTCTGGCCTCGCGATGCGCTCCAGCTTCTGTGACGACCCGTGACTGGCCACATTCGTGGTGGTGTTGCAGTCGTTCTCCCTCCTCTTGCGTTTCATGGCCCATCGCCCCTGACGTCGCGGCAGAAGGCGCGCATTCCTGGGAGAGCGCTTCAGGTCACTGCGCGCGATGGCCTTCGGACGCTCGAGACCTTCAACATTCATAATCAGGACCTTGCGGCTTCTCAAGTTTGTGAGGTGGCAGATGCGATGCTAGTATCACGGTTCGATGCTGCTGGCGCTCCCGACGCGTACAACACCTTCGTCTGCAGGGACTTCCATTTTGCCGCGCACGAGCCCCCGGCTTTGGCCCCCCCGTCGGCCGCCGTCCGTCGGGCGGCCCGCTGCCGCCGCGCGCAGGCGCCGAGGTGGCGCGCTGCGCTCTCGCTTCTAACAGAATTTGAGTGCGAGGATCCGACGCACTACGGAAAACATAACAATGTCTGCTCGACTATGCATCGCTCCCTTCGTTCCTTGGCTGGATGGCAGACTTGCCAGCTAAACGTTCAGATTGGCACGCTCGACTCCCCGGCGTTGGTTTTGGATCGGAGGCTTTCTGACCATGCTGCGGCGGTGGCGCCCTTTGCTCCGCGCGCTGCCAGGCCCAGGGACTCTCGACCCATCCCCGAGCACATCTTCCCGGAGCATGCGTTCCAGAATCGGTTGGAGGGCCTTCGCGAGGCCGCGTCGCTGTCGTTCATTGCCCCGCCCGCGAAGCTCGCGAAGCATAAGGAGCTTCTGAAGATCGCCGCGGCCGAGACTAGAGACACCCTCTTGCGGAGCAAGCCTCGCCACCCTCGCGCGCTCGCGCAGCTGGCCAGGTCGCTGGCTAGGGTCGTCTGGCGCCGGGACGTCGGGCTCGCCCCCGGGCCCCTGGACTCGCACCCCGTCGCTTCCGACGCGATCTTGGTCGCCAGCGGGGAAGTCGAAATCCGCCGCCCCCCGTCGCCCCAGGCGCGGGTCGACCAGGTCCAGCTGAGGCTGCGGAGACAGCAAAGGCTGAACTTGAGGAGCGTAGGCGACGTGAAGGTGGCCGTGCTGAAGTTCGCGCTCAATTGCGCGCTCTTGAAAGTCGAGCTCGGCTGTGGTCCCCACTGAACCGCAAGAATTCGCATCCTGGAGCTCGTGCGCCCCATGGTCAGGTCCTCGGGGAGCCATCGGGGCGTCTGCGCGAGCTCGCCAGTTTCTGAGCCCCCGTCTTTCAGGGGAGGCCGCGGGGCGCTGCTGCTGATGCCCCCTGCCTTCGTCGCCTCCTACTTGACGCGCCTGCTGATATTCACTTACCTCCTCTGTCCCGCTCCATGCTGCGTCGTGCCGTGCGCGTTGCTCGCCATTCGGCCCCTGGGCCCGACGCTCTCTCGCATGCTGCCTGGGCTGCTTCGTCGTGGGGAGTCGATATCTTATGGGGCGCCCTGGAGTGGGCGCTTGGAGGCCAGGGGCTTTCCTCGAACGCTTGCGACACCATTCAGATTTTCCTGCCTAAGAATGTGACCGGCCTGGAG